TTGCTACAACTGGGCGGCTGCCATCATCGCCTCTGGTGGCCCAGGGACCGCTCAGGGCTCCGCAGAGGGTGGGCGCAGGGGGCACCCTGAAACCTCGTCCGCTGGAGGAGATTGTGCCAAAGGCCCGCCGTGCCCACCCGGGAGGGCCGGGGTCCAGAGGAGCGCTTAGACCTGGTCTCTTCCCACGTCCACGGACCCGTCTCCCCCGCGGAAGCTGCTCTGGTGGCCAGCCCTCCCGCGCCCTCTCAGTTCCAGGTCCGAGCGGAGCTGCGTGGGTCAGAGGCGCCCTCCTGCGGGCATGGGCTGGGCGCACGCCCTCCCCTCTGTCGCCGGGCAGTGGGAGAGCGTGTGGCTTAGGGGGGAGGCTGTCCCGGTTCCGCCACGTGTGCGGGCACCTCCCCGAGGGCTGGCCCCGGCCCACACAGGACGCGCGGCCAGGACAGGAGGCTCCCGTCGCCACGGGAAGCGGGCACTGTGGGCGGTGGACACCCCGAGCCGGCGCGGGCAGGGTCCTGGGAGAGCTCTGCCCGCCTGCTGCCCACTCCGTCCGCAAGGCCTGGACACGCAGCCCTGATAAGAGCAAAAGCAACTTCCTCATGTCGCCAGGGGATCGCTGGTCCATGAGGCGGAGGAACGCTCCGTCCCCGGAGCCTGAGCTCCCACCTCCACTGGCCGCACGCGGGGTCCTTCCCGACGGTCCGGGAGCCGTCGGCGGCAGGACGTGGCGTTTGGTGAACGTTTCCATCCCCACCGCCTCTGAGTCACGTGGTCTGAGTACAGAGCCAGGAGTGAGAGGGCGGAGCACGCTGTGCCGCGAGCAGCAGCTGGTGACCAGGAGGTGGGCAGTGCGGGCAGGATGCTCCCAGAGAAAAGGACTTCGAAGCCGGCCCGTGTGGCTCAGTGGTTGAGCATTGACCTATGAACCAAGAGGTCATGGTTCGATTCCTGGTCAGGGCACAGGCCCGGTTTGCTGGCTCAATCCCCAGTGTGGGCCGAACAGGAGGCAGCTGATCAATAATTCTCTCTCATCATTGATGTTCCTACCTCTCTCCCCCTCTCCCTTCCTCTCTGAAGTCAATAAAAGTATATTCATACACACACACACATACACACACACACACACACACACACACATATTTAAAGAAACGAGTGAGAGCATGTTCCCACAGGCATGTCCCATCAAATCACAGTCTGCAAACAAAAATAATACTCAACTCTGACTTTGTAACATATTGGGCCATAATATTGAGTATTTTCCAATCTCTCAAGGATGGAAACTTCCAGAACAAAACTAACGAATCACTTCAGATTTCACTCGGGCCATTGCTTTGGCACTTACAGGTGTGCTTTTGCTTTCAAGAGTGTTATTTAGAACGTAAACGCCCCTGGAGATAGAACGTGTAAATCCTTGTCAGGGAACACACTGGCGTTTAAGACACTGGCAGGGCCTCGTGGGCTCCACTTGACAGCCAATCAGGAGCGAGCCTGGCTGTGGACACGCCCTCCAGGATATGTGCTCACCTGGGTGGACCCCTTGGACCTGATTTTAAAGAGAGGGGTCCCCTCGGTGAAGATATCTGTAATCCTGCCATAGCGTGTTCTTGAAGTGATGTATGATCGTGACACAGGGCTCATGGAGAGCTGGTAAACCCACATCACGGGTGAAACCTAAGCAATTGTCATCACTTCACAGGCGTCATGTGCAAAGCTAACGTCCTGTAGGCACTAAGCAGGCTCAGCGCACTGAGAACGGCTCAGCTGAAGTTAAGAGCAGAAGCTGCCCAGCCAGCGTGGCTCCGTGGCTGAGCTTCAACCTAGGAACCAGGAGGTCACAGTTCGATTCCTAGTCAGGGCACATGACCAGGGTGCAGGCTCAATCCCCAATGTGGGGCGTGAGGAGGCAGCCCATCGGTGATTCTCTCTCATCATCTCTATCCTTCTCCCTTCCTCCCTGAAATCAATAAAATCCTATATAATAAAGAGGGAATATGTAAACTGACCATCACTCTGCTACAAAGATGGTGGCGGCCACAGCAGAGGGGGGTGGTTTCCATAATACAAGATGGCGGAAACCACAGGAAAGGCCAAGCTCCCGTAACAAGCAATCAGCAGGGACCTGCGGCTGCAGCGTCCCTCCTCTCCCCCCCCCCCCCCCCCCGCCCCTGTGGGGCTTGACGGGGGACCTCAGGCTGCACCACCCCTGCCCATTGGGGCTTGACGACAGACCTCAGGCCACACCCCCTGCTCTGGCACCAGGCCGGGGGATCTGAGGCCTTACCCCACCCCCAGCAGGGCTTGCGGGGGAACCTCAAAGTGCGCCCCCCCCCACCCTGGTGCTGGGTTGGGGGACCTCAGGCTGCTCCCCTGACCCTAGTGCCAGAGACCTCAGGCCATGCCCCCTGCCCAGCGGAGTTTGACAAGGGTGGACCAGCCAGGTCTGGATCTAGCCCAGTGGGGGGCAGCGGCCAGGTCTGGGTCTCTTTTGATTTTGAGGCACACATGGGTGGGCGGGGACTTGACGCTGGGTCCCACAGCACACCCCAGACTCTGACAGGAGGGAGATTTTCCTACACCTTTTACTAATTTTCTTTCATCTCTGACACTTCTATTATAGAGAAAGGTCAAATAGCAGTATTAAAATATTTCCTCTGATTAATCCCCTTTTACTGTGCATGGATTTTGTGCACTGGGCCACTAGCTATATAGAAGAGAAAGAGCAGAAACTACTGTTCCCTGTGGGCCTGCCCATGGGAGCTGGTGTGGGGGTCCAGGACGAGAGTTCAGGTCTAGTGGGGACAGATACACAGGAGCTGGGCTGTCAGAGAGCTGTGGCCCAGCAGGCCAGGGAGAGCACACCTGCCTCACCCCTTTTCCTCTCCTTTTCTGGTCTCTTCCTGGGGTTCCCATTGGCCAGACCCAGCCAGGACCCGGCGTGAGGAAAGTCCGCCATGAGGCAGCACTGGGCAGCGGGGAGGGGGAGGGACTGGACCTGTAAGGGTAGAAGGACAGTGGCCAGCCCAGCACTGTCGTCGGCACAATGACACGTGTCTCACTTCAGCCTCCCCTCTTGGGGCTAGATAGCCCCTCTGTCAGTCCCACCGCTTTCCTGACGGTGCATCCAGGTTTCATTCTGATCCGTCCTCCTCCTCATCCTCCCGTGTGGGGACAGGAGACATCCTCAGAGCTCGGCTGCTTGATTTTTACACAACCCTTTTCTTTCATTTTTGGGGGGGGGGTCAAAATTTGCCTATGCTAACTCTTAAGTAGTTGGTTTCAAGAGGAGTCTTCCTTTGACATAGTCCTTAATACCCCAGCCTTCCCGTCACCCTCTATGCTGGGACAAACAGCTTGGGTGCGTTTGTCTGCAATGAGACAGGGTTTTAAGTTTTATTTGAGTGGGAGAAGTCACTCGCCGATTGGGTCAGACTTTACAATGTGACATGATTCTGTCTAGCATGTGCTCTATTTAAAAATGCCTTCCTATTCCTCACTACTTTTTATCTCTTTACTCTCATTCTTCTAGAATAGATTTTCTCTCCTTTTCTGTTTATTTACAACTAGAGGCCGGGTGCACAAAATTCATGCACATAGGGGATGGGGGGAGGATGTCCCTGAGCCCAGCCTGCACCCTCTCCAATCTAGGATCCCTCGAGGGATGTCAATCCAGGACTGCTGGTTCCCAACTGCTCGCCTGCCTGCCTTCCTGATTGACCCTAACCACTTCTGCCTGCCAGCCTGATCACCCCCTAACTACTATCATGCCAGCCTGATTGATGTCTAACTGCTCCCCTGCCAGCCTGTTAGTCCCCAACTTCCCCCCTCTGCTGGCCTGGTCACCCCTAAGTATCCTCCCCTGCAGGGTTGATCACCTCAAACTGCCCTCCCTTGCAGATCTGGTCCCTCTCAACTGCCCTCCCCTACTTCCCTGATCACCCACAACTGCCCTCCCTTGAAGGCCTGGTCCCTCCTAATTGCTCTCCCTCCTAACTGCTGGCCATCTTGTGGTGGCCATCTTGTGTCCACATGGGGGCAGGATCTTTGACCAATTGGGAGCAGCCATCTTGTGTGTTGGAGTGATGGTCAATCTGCATATTATTCTTTTATTAGATAGGATAGAGGCCTGGTGCATGGGTGGGGTCCAGCTGGTCTGCCCTGAAGGATGTCCTGGATCAGGGTGGGGGTCCCCTTGGGGCGTGGGTTGGCCTCGGCAAGGGACCTGTGGTGGTTTGCAAGCCGGTATCTGGAATTTATTTACCTTCTACAATTGAAACTTTGTAGCCTGGAGTGGGCCAAGCCTCCTGCTCACTCTGTGGTGGCAGCCATTTCTGTTGGGATTTGTTTACCTTCTATAATTGAATCTTTGTAGCCTGGAGTGGAAACCTGTGCCAGCCAGGGGGTGCAGAAAGCTTTGCTTCTTCCATTGCCAAGGACAACCCTAGCCTTCCACTCTTTCCAGCTCCGTGGCTGCTGCCATTTCTGTTTGGATTTGTTTACCTTCTATAACTGAAACTTTGTAGCCTGGAGTGGAGGCCTAGGCCGGCAAGGGCAGGAGGAAAGCTTGGCTTCCTCCATTGCCTGGGAAACCCAAGCCTCCCTCCTGCTCTCTGTGGCTGTAGCCATCTTGGTTGGGTTTATTTGCATACTCGCTCTGATTGGCTGGTAGGCATCGCTGATGGGGCATGGCTGGTGGGTGTAGCAGAGGTATGGTCAATTTGCATATTACTCTTTTATTAGGTAGGATGATATGAATTAAATGTGAACATCGTGGTGGCATATACCACATTGTGTGTGCAGGGGGGAGGTGGACCATGTGTAAGATGGTGGTTTCCAGGTGAACAGAACACCAGGACCCAGGGCTGACACGGTGCACACCACATTGTGTGTATATGTGTATAGCATGTGTAAGATAAAGCCAGGACTGACACTGTGTGTACATGTACTGCAGCGCAGTGTGTACACGTGGACAATTCTAACCGTTGCCTCCTGTTTGCTCCCCTCAGATCCGCAGCCAGAGCAAAGCGTCAGGCTCCGGGCTCTGTGAGGGGGATGAGGTGGTCTCCATCAATGGCAGCCCATGCGCGGACCTCACCTACCCGCAGGTCATCCGGCTCATGGAGAGCGTGGCCGACTCGCTGCACATGCTCGTCAGACGGTAGGTGCCCAGGGCACTCTCCCTTCTGCCAGCGGGGGCAGACAGCCCTCGGGCACGTAAACGGGGGCGCCCTGCAGAGGCCAGCATGACGGACAGGAGAGCCACAGGGTCTGAGAACTGGCAGCTTTAACCCCTGAAGTTCCTGATTGATTGAAAACTAGGTTGAAATCTGTTATTTAAAGCTAGCTCATTAGACAGCTCAGTATGGTGAACATCATTTAGTCCTTCCAGAGCCAGATTTGGTATAACTCACGGATGGATTAAAAACAGTTAAAGAGCAAACGATCACTACACACTAACTTCTTCCCGGAAGAAAAGGCCCAGGAGGAGAACAGCAGCAAAAGCCTTAAAAGCAGCCAGGTTTCTGCGGCCAGATCTCCGTGAAGCCAATATTTGGGCGGCTAGAGGGAAGCTTTGGGACTATCAGTGAAAATCTCCTGTTAATTTTGTCTCCCCATACTCATCCTCCCCACTGATTGCTTAAAGACCAGAAGGAAAGTTTAAACATAGAAACAAAAGAAAAGAAAAAGGTGCCCGGCTAGTGTGGCTCAGTGGTTGAAGTCACAGGTCCGATCCCCGCTCAGGGCACATGCCTGGGCTGTGGGCTCGATCCCCAGTGTGGGCCCAGAGACCAATGTTTCTTCTTGATGTTTCTGTCTATCTCTCTCCCTATCTCTTTAAAAATCAATAAAAATATATTTCTTTTATTTAAAAAATATATCCTATGTCAGAGAGGAAGGGAGAGGGAGAGATAGAAATATCAATGAGAGAATCAATGACTGGTTACCTCCTGCATGCCCCCTATTGGGGATCAAGCCTGCAACCCGGGCATGTGCCCTTGACCAGAATTGAACCCGGGACCCTTCAGTCCGCAGGCTGACACTCTATCCACTGAACCAAATTGGCTAGGCCAAAATATATCTGTTTCTAAAAGGAACACAACGGGGCAATCACACACACACCAACAGTAGCACCCACATTTCCGTGTGTGCAAGCCACCGCCCAGGCTGCACCAGCTCTGCGGGGAGACTGACAGGCACTGTGACAGCTCCGTCAGAAGAGCCCGGAGCCAGGGGGCGTCTTCCCGGGCGCCAGAGGCCTCCCTGCAGAGGCGACATCAGCAGGACCCTGCTGACCACACTCAGTGTGATGTCACTTCTTTCTTTCTAAGACATTGTTATTGATTTCAGAGAGGAAGGGAGAGGGAGAGAGAGAGAGAAACATGCATGATGAGAGAGAATCATGGATCAGCTGCCTCCTGCACTCCCCACACTGGGGATCGAGCCTGCAGTCTGGGACTCAAACCATGGGACCGGGACTCAAACCATGCCCCTGAGCCACGCTGACGGGCGGGTTTTGTTTGTTATGTGTTTGTTGTTGCTGCTGGGAATCCTCACCTGAGGATATTTGTCCCATTGATTTTCACAGAGGAAGGGGAGGAAGGAGAGTGAGAGAGAAAGAGAGAAATGTCCGTATGAGAGAGGTACGCCAATTAGCTGCCTCCTCTACATGCCCCAACCAGGGCTGGAGATCCAACTCGCAACCCAGGTACTTGCCCCTGACCAGGAAGCAAACCGAGACCCTTGATGGACAGGCCGAGGCTCTAACCATTGAGTGACACAGGCCAGGGCTGATTCTATTTCCATACAAACAGGACTCACAAGGCCTAAACCTTGTGAAAGTAAAAGAAGTCTCACTTTATTCTCAGCGTCTCCCACCTGAATGTTTGCCCCGATGGAGTGCTGGTCCCAGGCTCCTGCTTATTTATAAACGGCATGTGCTTTGGCGAGGACCTGGCAGGAAGGCTGCGGCGTGCCGTCCACATGCCGGCCCTGCTCAGAGTCAGCGCTCTAGCACTCCCAAAGGGGCATGCCTCTCTGGTTTTTTCCCTTTTTAGTGCCTCTGCTGATGCAATGAGGCCGCTTCTCCGGAGCAGGAGGCGGGCACTCTCCCTACTCGGTCCTGTCCGGGCTGCGGTGCATCACTGGGAAAAACTGGTGCTTCAACGCTGAGTCCCCGACACATATTTGCTGTCACACATCACTGGACTGGTGCTCTGCTACTCTTAGGAAATGGGATCATGATCACTATTTTCTCTTAAGTACTTTGACTTTACCAAATAAATAACTGATGATATTGAAAATGGAATCTCAAATTAATACTCACAAAAGGCAGTCACCACCTTCCATCACCCCCACTACCATCACCCCCACTACCATCACCAGCACCACCCCCACCATCACCACCACCCCCACATCACCACCACCATCACCAGCACCACCCCCACCATCACCACCACCCCCACATCACCACCACCATCACCCCCACTACCATCACCAGCACCACCCCCACCATCACCACCCCCCCCACCACCCCCCACCACCACCACCATCACCAGCACCACCCCCACCACCACCACCATTACCACCATCACCCCCACCACCACCACCATCACCCCCACCACCCCCACCACCACCACCACCACCCCCACCATCACCACCATCACCCCCACCACCACTACCACCACCACCACCACCATCACCCCCCCACCAACATCACCATCACCCCACCACCACCACCATTACCACCAACACCATCACCTCCATCACCATCATTACCACCACCATCACCAACACCACCACCATCACCACCACCACCATCACCCCCCCCACCACCATCACCTCCATCACCATCACCATCATTACCACCACCATCACCCCCACCACCACCACTATCACCCCCACCACCACCACCATCACCTCCATCACCATCACCATCACCATCACCATCATTACCACCACCATCACCACCACCATCACCAACACCACCACCATCAACACCATCATCACCACCATCACCATCACCACCATCACCATCACCACTACCCGCTGGTATCTGAATGCTGTTTCCTGGAATTAAAATATTTCTCCCACTCACATAGTGTCCTCTATCACTGAAGGGCAATGCTTTACTTTTCCTGGACAATCGCCCAGAGGTAGCTGGGTCGGGCGGTCCTAAAACACTTCTTTATCTTAAATTTCATTAAAATGAGACGTTGTTCTAAATTAGATAATTATGTGCTGGGGAGCAGGACATTGTACTCTGGTTCTCTGGCGGGTCTGAGAATTACACTGATGTAAGGCAGATCAGCCGGAGCAAATAACCAAATGCAATTCCGTCTGGATGCACAGGGCTCATTAGGACCAGGGCCCAGGGCGAGCTGGGCGTGTGTGCCACCAGAGCGGAGGAGACGGAAGTGGTCTGGGACTTCAAAGGGGAGGAAGGAGCCAATGTTTGGTAAACAATGTTTGCTGGGCCTCAGAGAGGGGAGTCTGATGGCCAGGCCCCTCCCGTCCCCACCCCAGCGGAGAGCCGGGCGTCCCCCTCTGCCACCCACCACGACCCGCCTGTGCACTCTGCCTCTGCAGAGCGGGCGGACACCAGCTTCTCAGGGAGAGAGCGGGCCTTCCCCTCTGGCCACAGTAAGTGTTAACACTTGTCTGAGATTTGCCTGCGTGACCGTCTCTGAGGCTGGAATGGAGTCAGACTCTCTCTCTGCCTCCTGAGCGACGGCTGACATGACACCAAGTGATGTAATCCGGGCCTCCCCCTCTCCTCCTCCGAGGCCTTCCTCCCTTAAGCCCTTTGGCCTCTGGCTCCTCACGTCCTGGCCAGGGCGCAGCACCATTTCCCAGAGAGGTCTGAGCAGCCCTGCGGGTGTTTGAAACACCGAGTTATGGTTTGTCTTCTGTCTTTACCAGGAAGCTTCGCAGGCGACACGCTTAGAGAAAGCTGCGTGTCCTTTGCTGGTTTCTGTTTAGCGTCGTGTTATTGTTGCTAAATGCAGCCAGAAGCAAAGGCAGGAGCCATTGTGCCATAATGCCGCCTGAATGGGTGCAACCCCATCATCCTCAGGGAGACCCCGGGGAGACCAGGAGGCTCCTTCCTCACCTGATGACCTCCGCCCTCCGAACGCATTCGGAAGGAGGGAGCAGGGGCAGAGGACCGCTGCTGCTTTTTAGAAAGCCCACGAAAACCTTTACAAATGTGAGAAATGCGGCACTTCCTCCAGCTGTTCTGTGACTGAGGATTCTCTCCAGAGCTTGAGCAAGACGTTGTTTAACCCTTAAACTGGCATTGCTTCCTGCAAACCCAAATGTGCAAAAGCCAGCTGGGAATGTGCAGTCAGCATGGAAGGCCTGCGGTAAGGGGCCTGCCCCCCCCCCCCCCCCCGGGGGAGCGGACTGAGACAGAGGGCCTCTAAGGAGATGGCTCTCCGAGGCGGCTCACCAGGCAGGCAGCGCTGGGTATTTATACTCCATGACTCAGTCGCCAGACAGCTCGCAGAGGATTTTCTCTGGACGCAGGAGCGCTGGGCTGGGGCCCATGGGTTGCAAACACCCTCCGAGCTCAGCCTGCGGCGTTTCATTCCCTTTAAGAGAGCAGGCCTCAGCAAGGGCACCGGCCTTCCTGTGTGGTGGCATCGCCCGCTGGGCTGGCCATCTTAGTCAGCAAGCCATGGCATGCTTTCTCATAATGTAACAGCATCGTGTTTGGAAAACAGCCAAATAATTACAGCTAAGAGCACCCATGTGGATATCACCTGTTTTTTAAAAAACAACACTGGCCGAAACCAGTTTGGCTCAGTGGATAGAGTGCCGGCCTGTGGACTGAAAGTCCCAGGTTCGATTCCTGTCAAAGGCATGTACATTGGTTGCGGGCACATCCCCGGTGGGGAGTGTGCAGGAGGTAGCTGATCGATGTTTCTCTCTCATTGATTTTCTAGATCTCTATCCTTCTCCCTTCCTCTCTGTAAAAAATCAGTAAAATGCATTAAAAAAAAAAACACACACACAAAAAAAAAACAAAAAACACTGCATTTAGGATGGATCTGGGTTTTATCATATCCCGCGAGCCCCTTTGCTGGGCTGTAAGGGACCGTTGTTGGGAAGATGGCTAGATAATCACACACCAAGTTGCCAGTCTGTTTGACCATGGGCTGCGCTGGCCGGGAGGAGGGTCTGCCTGTGGAGCCTTGGCTGTCAGGGGGTCAGGAAGCTCCCGCTGGGGTGGGCTCCGGCTCTAACGGTCTGGAACTGTTTGGCTTTTCTGTGTGCAGACCTTCCGGTGGAGTCAGTGACACCGAAAACCAAACCCCTGCGCCTCTCACCGCCGAGGGGTGCGAGGAGAGCACCACCCTGCACATCCGCCCGGCCCCACGCAGCCAGGCCCCCGAGCCCCGCCTCGCCCCCCGCCTCGCCGGGAACCTGGAAGGTGGTCCCGCTTTTTCTGGGAGCAAAAAAGAGGAAATGGGCCCGTGTCACCCCGAGGCCCCCCCCACGCCTGGCCCCCCGAGAGGGCGCTCTGCAGAGGAGGTGGTCTTGCTGGAGAGAAAGGCAGAGGCCGGCTGGCCAGGCCCTGTGGTGGAGCTACAACTGTCCCTGCCTCCGGACACACACACCGGCCCCGGGGCCCCTGCCGGGCCCCCCCTGGGGGCTGCAGAGCCTGCGAGCCCTGACCCAGACCCTGACCTACACTGGGGCGGGACCGTCCCCGTGAACGCAGCCCCCACCGGAGAGAAGGGGCAGGCCCCTCTGAGGTCCAGCAGGACCTTCCGGATCGGCAGGGGCCCGGAGCGGGGCGCGGGGCTGCCCCGCGTGGCGGTGATCCTGGCCTGCGCCGGCGGGCAGCTGGCGGGCGGGTGCGGGCCGCCGGGGGCGGGGCGGGCGGAGTCCCCGCTGGAAGGAGGGCCGTCCCTGGCCGAGGCGCCTCCTCCGGGCGCCTTCGCCGCCTCCTCAGAAGGCACGGAGCAGGGGGACGACCCGCGCGGGGAGCCGGACCACAGCAGACCGCACAAGCACAGAGCGCGCCACGCACGTGAGTCCTGCCTGCGGCCGGGCCGGGGGCGGGGGGCGCTGCTGCTGCTCGCCTGCACGGATGGCTCTTTCCCTTAAAGCCGTTTCCTCTTGCCCTGGGGCACAATGAAACCGCTAATGCACGGAGACACCCCAAGTGAAGCTGTAGGCAGTGCCGGCTCTGAGCGGGAAGCAGGGAGGTGAGCCTGGGAGCACAGCTCCGTGGTTTCCATGCACATTTGATCCCGGGGCACAGGCTCTGTGACAGACCAGGACACGGCTAGGCTGCCTCTCTGATCTGCCCCGGGACGTGCCCTCTCCCCGGCTCGCACAGACACGCGAGTGCTGGCACATGTCAGGAACCGAGGCGCCCGCTGCTCAGGGTGTGCATGGAGCCAGGCTGCAGGGCTGATGTGGAAAACAGACCCTGGCTCTGAGGCCCGCCGCCCACCGCCCTCCGCTGAGGATGCCTGCAGGAGCGGCTGACGGACAGGGACATGTGCGGCCGCTGTCACAGGATCTGCCGCCTGCGAGCCCTCACCGGCCACGGCCACAGCCCTGCTCTCCCAGGCCGGCCCCGGGCCACGTGGAGCATGTCAGTGCCCCATAGAGCACAGGCCTACATGCCAGGCCCCCCTACCCCCCCCCCCGGGTTTCGTACCCCAGGCAGTGGTTAGAGGACGCAGAGTGAGGATGAGCAGGCTGTTGGGTTTTATGGTTTTTGTTCTTCTTGGGTTTTTTTTTTATGTTATTGATTTTTTACTGAGAGGAAGGGAAATAGTTAGAAACATTGATGAGAGAGAGTCATTGACCAGCCACCTCCTGCACACCCCCCCACTGGGGATGTGCCCACAACCAAGGTACATGTCCCTGACCGGAATCGAACCCGGGACCCTTCAGTCCGCAGGCCGATGCTCTATCCACTGAGCCCCACCAGTTTTGGCGCTTTTGTTCTTTTTTTTTTTTTTTTTCTTTTTCCCACACATTTTTAAGAAGTCTTTGGAGGAGGTGAGGGCTGAGGGGAAAGGCACCGGGTGTCTGAATGGTCTATGACAGCAATGAACTTGGTGAGTCAAAGCAGCAGATGAAATCTTCCAACCTGTGGTCATCCCTCTCACGGTGTATTTTTAGCAAAAGCATTTGTAGCTTCCTTGGCAAGTGCCAATCATTGCATATCCCTGAAGCATCTGTAGGCACGGCCACATTTATAGATTTTAAACAAGTGCATGACGGCGGGCTCACATACGTGGCATGCTGGCCGGGGTGTCAGTGACGAGTGAGCAACTGTGGCCGTCAGTTTAACAGTAAGTATAGCAGTCAGGAAAACATTACCTTTAGGAATGACCACATGCTTTGTTATTTCCTTTAAATAAAACACCATTACCAGCGACTACCTGTAACTTTGTTATAAAACTTCTTACTCTGATTCTTCGTTTTTGTTTTTTAATTAACCATTAAGATTGTTTTTTTCCGTTCAAAAAGAGCTAATTTTCAATCATAAAATACTAAAAAAAAATTTTTTCTGAAATTTCCACTGAACTATTCTGAGTTCAAAACATATTTTGTGGCCGAAACCGGTTTGGCTCAATGGATAGAGCATCAGCTTGGGGATTGAGAGGACCCGGGTTCGATTCTGGTCAAGGGCATGTACCTTGGTTGCGGGCATATCCCTGGTAGCGGGTGTGCAAGAGGCAGCTGATCGATGACTCTCATCGATGTTTCTATCTCTCTATCTCTCTCCCTTCCTCTCTGTACAAAATCAATAAAAATATATTAAAAAACAAAACAAAAACAAAACGTATTTTGTGAATCATGCTCATTTTCACTGAATACATGCTTATGACTGATTGTTGCTATAAATTAATTTGCCACCAACTTCTTTTTATGACAATGATAAAATTTTAAATTAAAATTTTTATTTTAAAACTGTCATTTTTAATGATTTAATTTTTTGTCAGCCTCTAAGCTCATAATTTTTACATTTCCCCACGATTGACACTTATTCATACCCCAGCACCATGGATTTTATTTAAATTTAGCTAGAGGACTTTGTAGCTAAAGCTCCGTACATTCACAGCAGTCTAATGTTTCCATTATTACGAATCGTAGTTCAGTACTTTCAGTTATTCACATAGTTTTCTGAATTTATGCTAATTCAGTCTCCATGAATGGAAAGACTTTGGAGGGAAGTCAGAGGCAAGAAAGAAAGAAGAAAACTTGAATATGTAAAGTCATCACATTAATTAAGCTAAATAACACCACCTCCGATTTTTTTTTAAATGCTTGGCAATCATTTTATATTGACTTTTTATTTTTTAAATACGGAAGTACAGATATGCCCCAACTTGCTTTCCAGAACATATTGCCCTTAAATGACCTCCTTTCTGGTTCTGACTGCATCCTGTTAGCTAAGACTCACTGGCACCGCTCACTGCCACAGCATAGGGGCTACCCGGACACAAACGCTGAGACCTGTGCTCTGAGGGGCGGGCATCACCGGCATTTGCACAGGCACCGGCCTTGCATGCACGGAGTTCCCGTGGCACAGTAGGAGTTCAGACTTTATAGTTATTGATTTCGGACAGGAAGGGAGAGGGAGAAACAGCACTGATGAGAGAGAATCATGGACCGGCTGCCTCCTGCACGCCCTCTGCTGGGGACTGAGCCTGCAACCCGGGCATGAGCCCTGACCAGGAATCAAATCAGGACCTCCTGGTTCATGGTGACCCTCAACCCCTGGCCCCATGAAGCTCAGACTTTTAAAGAAGGAGGAGGAAGGGGAGGAAGAGGAGGAGGAGGAAGGGGTTGGTTGCTTCCGCTTGGAGCCCAGCAGCAGGCAGGGGTCTCTCTCTCCTTCCCGGGTGCACGGGGCGTGGCCGGGGGTCCCCCTCCTCCCGCCCTCTCCCCCCAGGGCTGCGGGGCGCACGGGGTGTGGCGGGGGGGGGGGTAGGGGGGGTTGCACGGGGCTTGGCCTGGGGGTGCACGGGGCGTGGCCGGGGTGCACGGGGCGTGGCCAGGGGTCGCCCCTCTTTCCCCCCAGGGCTGCGAGGTGAACGGGGCATGGCCGGGGGGTGCACGGGGCGGGGGCGGGCCTCCTTCACCCGCCCTCTCCCCCCAGGGCTGCAGGGCGCACGGGGTGTGGCGGGGGGGGGGGGGGTGCACGGGACTTGGCCGGGGGGGGGGGAGTGTGCACGGGGCGTGGGTGAGGGGCTCCCCCATTCCCCCCCCAGGGCTGCGGGGTGCACGGGGCTTGGCCTGGGGGTGCACGGGGCGGGGCTGGGGGCGCACGGGGCGGGGCCGGGGGCACACGGGGCGTGGCCGGACCCCCTCTCCTCTCCCCCCGCAGGGCTGCGGCGCAGCGAGAGCCAGTCGGAGCAGCGGGAGCGGGAGGCCCGGAGGCGATGCCGCCGCATCGTGCAGCTGCTGACGGCCGCGCCGGGGCCGGCGTCGCGCGGGGCGCTCATGTTTAGGAAGCGGCGGCGGCGCGCGCGCAGGTTCACGCTGGTGAGCTACGGCACCGGGGCGCCGCGGCGGCCGGGACAGCCCGGGGGACCCGAGGAGGACCCCGAGGACGAGGCCGGGGACGGCTCCTGGGACGGCGTCTGGGAGGCCGCGCCGTCCGGCGCCAGCGAGTCCGACGCCGACGAGGAGCCGCCGTCCGACGCCGACGCCGAGGACAGCGCGCCGGCCGCCGCCTTCGACTGGGACGCGGGGCTCGGGGCCCTCGAGCGGCAGCGGAGCGCCGGGGACCGCATGGAGCTGCTCCCCGACACGGCGGGCAAGGGCGCGCGCATGTTCGCGCGGCGGCGGGAGCGCATGGACCTGATCGCGGCGCAGCAGGAGGAGGACGCGGCGCGCGCGGGGGCGCAGGACGGGGCGCCGGACGGCCCGGGCGCGGAGGCGGCGGCGGGGGGCGCCCCGAGCTCCGCGCACAGGAGCCTCATGGAGCTGAGCCCGGGCCCCGGCCTCGCGCCCCAGCACAACGGCTTCGGCTTCGGCGCCGAGGCCCCGCGGACGGCGCCCGGGAACCGGACGGCGCGGCCCTTCCCGGGGCCCGCGGCCGCGCTCTCCCCGCCCCGCAGCCTGGCGAGCCCCACGGCCGAGCTGCCCGCGCCGCCGCCCTACGCGGCCCTCACGCCACCGCCCGCGGGCCCCGCGCCGCCGCCCTGGCCGCAGCCCGCGCCCTGGCTGCCCGAGCGCCTGGCCTCCCGCGACGAGCGCATCGCCGTGCCCGCCAAGCGCACCGGCATCCTGCAGGAGGCCCGGCGGCGCGGCGCCGCGCGGCCCATGTTCACCTTCCGGGAGCCCGCGGTGAGCCCCAACCCCGAGCTGCTGGCGCTGCTGCAGGGCGCCGAGGCCCGGCGCGGCGGCGCGGACTCGGGGCCGGAGGAGGACCACCTGAGCCTGGGCGCCGAGGCCTGCAACTTCCTGCACGGCGCCGCCAAGCTCAAGACGCCGCCGCCCGTGGCCCCGAAGCCCACCGCCCGGGCCGCCGCGTCCCCGGCGTCCCCGGTGTCCCCGGCGGCCCCGGCCTGGGCTCCGGGCGCCGCGCCCGCCCGCCCGCCCGTCTTCCCCGGGGCGCCGCCCCCGCCGGGCTCCGCCGCGTCCTCCATCGCCACGGCCCCGCCGCTGTCCCCGCCGGCCCGGCCCGCCAGCGCGCTCAGCCCGGCCGGGCCCCCCGCCCGGCCCGCGGAGCTCCCCGCGCCCGCAGGGGGCGCCCCGGAGCCGCCGGCCGAGCTGCCCGCGGGGATGCGGGGCCGCGGCGCGCAGCTGTTCGCGCGGCGGCAGACGCGGATGGAGCGCTTCGTGGTGGACGCGGACACCGTGCAGGCCCGCGCCGCGCGCGCCCCGTCGCCCTCGCCGTCGCTGCCCTCCGGCTGGAAGTTCTCGGCCCAGGTGCGCGCGCCGCCGCCCGCCGCCTACAACCCGCTGCTGGCGCCGTCCTGCCCGCCCGCCGCGCTCCGCGCCCCGCCGCCCGCGCAGGCCGCCGGCGCCGCCCGCAGGAAGGGCAAGAAGCCGCTCAACGCGCTGGAGGTGATGAAGCACCAGCCCTACCAGCTCAGCGCGGCCCTGTTCACCTTCCAGCCGCCGGGCGCCGCGGCCGCCCCCGGGCCCGCCCCCCGGCAGGCGCCCCCGGCCCAGCCGGTCCACGCCAGCCCGGCCGGCTCCCCCGCCAGCGCCCCGGCCCGGGCGGTCCCCGCCGGCTCCCCCGCCGACACCCGGGCCGTCCCCGCCGGCTCCCCCGCCGGCGCCTGGGTCCCCGCCGGCGCCCCGGCCGCCGCCGTGCGCTCGCCGGCCCGCAGCCCGCCGCCCGCCCTGCTCCCCGAGGCGGCCTCCCCGGCCAGCGGCCCGGGCTCCCCGAGGCGGGAGGCGGCCTCCGTGGCGGCGCCCAGGCCCAAGTTCTCGGCCAAGAGGAGCGGCGTGGCGGCGCAGGTGTGGAAGCCCTCGATCGCGGAGGGGTAACCCGGGGGCGGAGGGAAGCCCGGGGTCCGCGCTGCGTGGAGCGATGGTTTGCGGTGTTACTGAGTCCCCCCAAAGAAAAGCTTAGCGAGCCCCCACTCCCTTAGCTTCAGACGCCGGCTCCCCCGGTCCGGAGCACGCTGTGGCCAGTGAGGCAGGAACCCAGCTCAGGATCTGCAGCCACACGATCTGCTTTGTGCATTAAACCTGCGGACGCCCCGCAGAGCCTGGCCGTGCGGTTCAGTGGGCAGATACTAGGGTTCGTGCTCAGCTGGACAGGCAGTGGTCAGTGACCGTTATCCCCCACCTGGGCCGGCCCTGCCCCCGGAAGGGCTCACCTCCGAGCACAGCACACGTAGGCTGGAGTTCCTTCGGAAGCAGTGTTTTATCTCTGTCACTAGGTTTAGGGGTAGGAAACGTATCGAGGGCAGAGGGCAGAGGGCAGCTCCGGTTCCCACCTCGGCCACGGGTGAGCTGCCAAGAGGGCTCCTGGGACTGCTGGCTGGTGCAGGGTTAGGGGTCAGAGAGAGGGCATGGTCACTGCTGAGCACGGGAGGTGTATTGGCTTCCAGGGGTCAGACGCATATGGAGACGGGATGGGGAGAGGGATGGCGGAGAGGGATGATGGTCCCAGCAGCGATTCCCAGCGCCCCCATCACTCCGGAGACTAAGCGAGCGCTCCTCTCCTCCGGGGTTTCTGGGGTGGAGGCTGGCGGTGGAGGAAGGTAGGAAGGTGGGCGGCCTTGGGTGCAGGTCCAGGCGACAGGTGTCTCCCGGAGACCACGTGACTGGAGAGAGAGGGTGAGTGCCCCCGAGATCAACACCATTTCCCGTGGCCTCACAGACTTCTTCCTCCGGTTTCTTCTGCTTTTCTGACACCTGCTCCTCCCGCTGTGCCTTGCGGTTCTAACCTCACACCTTCACGCTAGGATCTACCTTTGCCGGCCAGGAGGATGCCCGCAAGGTTACCTTGTGGGTAGGGCCTGGTCGCACCTGCTGTCACCCAGCTGGCCACGGAGCCAGCCACGTGGCTGACAGGCACCCAAAGACCTTGCCCGTGGCTATTTTAAGCCCGAGTCTGAGCAGTGTTGGAAACTATTCAGCATGAGTTCGGGCAGATCACAGAGCGCTCCTGGCGGCTCCGGGGGCCAGCGCCCCGCACAGGAGCCACGTGAGAGGCGTGCAGGGAGACTCCCTGGGTTTGGGGACCAGGCCCCACTGGGACCCGTGAGGACCTCTGCGCCCTTTCTCCACTGCCCTGTCGCCTGCTCTCTCCCGCCATCCTATTAAAACATTACTTTCCTCTTCACCTGTTCCATGTACGTTTTTTACCATCGTCCCTCTGCGAGCTGCTCTCTCTGGCCTGGGCTGTTTCTCTGACCTTTCTCTGACAATGCTCCCCAAACATCTGCATTTCCTTTGGGTTATTGTTTATTGGTTTCAGAGAGGAAAGGAGAGGGAGAGAGAGAAACATCAGTGATGAGAGAGAATCATGGCTTGGCTCTGCCTCCCGCCTGCCCCCTTGAGGATCGACCCCACAACCCGGGCCTGGCATGTGGCCTGGCTCATAGGCGGATGCCCAGCCCCTGAGCCCCTGCACTTCCTTTCTGCCGGCGTGTCCATTTCCCCGTGAAACGGCGGCCGTGGCGTCTCAGACACTCGCCCGGAGGAGACCTACGCCAGCTGCAGACAGTAGCCCTTCTGCCTGTTCTCTGGCCGCGCTTCAGGCCTGCGGGGGCCGTGGACCCAGAGCCGCAAACTCGGGCAGCGCGGGCTCACGTGCCCTCGGGAGCCAGGGAGCAGAGGAATGCAGGATAAAGGAAGACGCCTGTGCCCTTTGCAGAAAGAGCGCTGTCGTCCACAGTTCTTCCCTGCACAGGAAGTCCGCTGTGCATTCTGCATTCTTCTCTAATGGAACAACCAAAAAAGGCTGCTGACGGCCGAGCGGCGAGGAAATGTCCTGGCCCTGGCGTTCCTCACGTCGCAGCGAAGAGGGCGAGTCAGCACGGGCAGTCCCCGGAGAGCCTCGCTCCGGCAGCGTCAGGAGGCCTCCCAGGTGTCCGGCCCGGGTGGCAGGCAGGAGAAGTGCTCTCCGTCCACTTCCTGTGGGGCAGGCGGTGACCTAAACAGGCCTTTTGCTAGCACCACACGAGCATGACTGGCACTGTCATGGATCCCCAAACGCTGCTGAGGCACAGGCCAGGCGGTGGGCAGGGCAGCCAGGCTCCTGCTGGCCCCGGGCATCGTCCATCTGGGTGCACAGTCCCCTGGGGAAGAGGCTCCCCCGCCCTGCAGGTGGGCAGCGCGAGGAGAGCCGGGCCTGCTCCCTGGAGCCAGAAGGGCGCCCTCTGCCCTTTCTCCCACCGGGGCCCTGGGAGCCTGCCTGCGGGGTAAGCCTGCAGGGGGACCTGTGCCAGGCGCCAGCAGGGCAGGGGGAGACTGAGGACACTGGCTCAGCGTCCCTCCCTGCACCCTGTGCCCCCGGGTGTCAGTGGCTGGTGTCGGCGGCAGGTGTGGGCTGTGCCACCAGCTGTGGGTCCGGGGAGGCAGTTTCTGTTCTTCGGGCACTGGGCCTCTTCCCTGGCGCTCTTAGCTGAGTGTGGGTGCAGCTCCTGCGAATCCGCATTTCACCGTCAGCACCACAGCGCCCGCGACTGCCTGGCGTCCGTGATGTGCTTGTGCCCACCCCGAGGACCGTGTGCGCAGTCACAGGCCTGCAGTGTCCACGCGAGGTGACCCGGCGCTGAGCCCGCAGGGCCCCTGTGGACCGGCTCCACGGCTCCCCATCCCGCCTCGAACCTCCCAGCCGCGGCGCTCGGTCCGGGGTGTCCCGGTCAGCACAGCGGGGGAGGCGGGAGCTGAGGACTGCCCTCTGATCCTGGCACAGGTACACGTTTATTTCTGATATTACAGTAGCGGGACGTCTTTGTTCGGAGAGGGAACACCACCATGTCTGCACGGTGACTGTTCACTGCCGGTGTGACCGCACACGTTCAGGCATATGTTTAATCACACACCCCGGGCTGTCCCGGGCCACGCGAGCGTCTGCACGTTAAAATACACCAGCGTGATGTTCTCGGTGGCGTCTCATTTCTCGTCCCAGGCCGGAGGGCAGGCCCCGGCCGGCGCGGGGGCTTCCCGGACAGTCTCCCGCACCGGAGCCTGGCTGCTCACAGTCAGTCTGAGGGGTCCGCCCTGAGGGAGGGCATGTCCTGGCCGGGCTCTCGGGGGGAACCCTCGGGGGCCGCTTTGCCGTGACCGGTGTCCTCAGCCCTCGACTCTGGAACTCCCAGTGATGCCTCCGAGCACACGGGGGCCTGAGCGGCCCTTCCCTGCAGAGGGCCGAGCGGTCCCGACCTCAGGCACCTGCCCGAGTGGCTGGGCACCCTGGCCGGGCGGGCAGGGCACAGGTGACCGCCACCACGAAGGGTTGTTTTCTGAAAAGCTGAGTGCTCATGCCGCTTCCAGGGGGTGCCGGGCTGCAGGCTGTTCCCTGAGGCCAGGCCTGTTGAGCTGTTGGGAAAGTTGTTAGAGGTCATGAGAAACGCGTGTGAATCCTGAGACCCCACTCTCTTCCCAGGGCCACTGGCCTGCGGGTCCCCTGGCCGGCCCCTCTGGGGGACTCCGGGGACACAGCCCCAGCCAGTCCCGTGCCCGGAGTCAGCGGCCGGCATTCCGGGAAGTCCTGGCTTCCCTCCGGAGTGGGCCATGGGCCAGTGCGGCCAGGCCATCCCCGGGCCGGACACCCGGGCGCAGCCAAGAGGCCATCACGGTCCCGCCTCTGATGTTGGGAATGAGCTGTGCCGTCCCGCGCTGTCCTGTGGAGCCTGGGGGACAAATCCAGCCTTCAGGGCCCGTAGCAGAACCCCCTCTCCTCGCTGTCATCGGGGACAGTTCCTTAGATTTTCAAAAAGCCGCGTCTCCACGGTTTGTGAATTTGTGCACTGACTCCCGTCTGGCACTAGGAAATCACAGAGCTTCCTGCTCAGAGGCAGCCGGACGCAGAGAAATTAAACATTTTTACACGGAGCCCGTCAGGCACGTCTCCAGCTCCTGGCCCCGAGGCTCTCGGCCAGTTGGACGGGTCCCCAGGGTTAAGGAGAGACCGCAAGGCTCCCACCATTTAGGTTATTTTGCTTTGAATCACAGGATTTCTTAACTCTTTTTTTTTGTTCTGAACGTTGACCGTGTTCTTGGTGTGTTGACCTAATGCATGTTCTTTACGACGTGAAGCACACACTGAGGGTCCCCCATGAAAACAACCCCAAGGACCCCGGCCCAGCCGCCTCCTCTCCCCCACCCGCTGGTGAGGACAAGGTTCAAGGTCACAAGGACCTTCGAACGCACCAGCCCCCCGCCGCCCTCTGCTGGGAGCCTCTGGGGAGCTGTTGATGGTTCATTCTAGAAGAAAAAACAAAACTTAGGACGCAGTCGGTTCTGAGCGAAAAGAAAGCAGGTCCGGGGAAAGGGGGAAAGCCGAAGCAGGAAGCACGGGTTTGTTCTGTGTTTTCTGCGGGAGGCACTCCAGGACTCTGAGAGCCTTTGGCGTCTCTGCGGCGTGAGCATCGCTCTCCCAGGCCCCGCAGCTCCGAGGTCTCAGCCGGGGACACCGGGCGGGGGGGCCCCGCAGCACCGAGGTCTCAGCCGGGGACACGGGCGGGGCCCGGCATGGCCTCCGCCGCCTGCAGCACAGACTGGATCCTACGTGTTCACCGAGCACAGACCGTGGGCTGCACGGCGGGTGCCGGACCTTCCGGAGATCCTCCGTTTTCATTGATGGAGGACGGACGGGCCGTAGTTCAGGGGGAGCACAGGATTCCACGCTGTGCCTGTTGACCCCGTGAGCCCGCCACGCTCACCCCTCGTAGTGACATGATGAGAATGGCGGACACCTCCTCTTAGCACCTCTCAGTGCAGGTGCAGAGAACATGGAGAGACACACACACACCACGCCCAGCGTTATTACCTGTGGT